GGGAGACCTTAAGCAGGCAAAAGATTACCACGATCGTGCACTGGCTATTATGCTAAAAGAGCTCGGACCTGACCATGTTGATGTCGCAGCGTGTTATAATGATCTAGGTCTTGTACTCCGTCAGCTGGGAGACCTTAAGCAGGCAAAAGATTACCACGATCGTGCACTGGCTATTATGCTGAAAGAGCTCAGACCTAAACATGTTGATGTCGCAGCGTGTTATAATGATCTGGGTCTTGTACTCCGTCAGCTGGGAGACCTTAACCAGGCAAACGATTATCACTCTCGTGCACTGGATATTATGCTGAAAGAGCTCGGGCCTGAACATGTTAATGTTGCAGCGTCTTACCAGGCTTTGGGTTTTGTATACCGTGAGCTGGAAGACCTTGATCAGGCAAAATATTATCACGCTCGTGCACTGGATATTATGCTGAAAGAGCTCGGACCTGAACATGTTAATGTTGCAGCGTGTTACAATGATCTGGGTCTTGTACATCGTCATCTGGGAGACCTTAAGCAGGCAAAAGATTACCACGAGCGTGCACTGGCTATTATGCTGAAAGAGCTCAGACCTGAACATGTTGATGTCGCAGCGTGTTATAATGATCTGGGTCTTGTATACCGTGAGCTGGGAGACCTTGATCAGGCAAAAGATTATCACGCTCGTGCACTGAATATTATGCTGAAAGAGCTCGGGCCTCAACATGTTAATGTTGTAGCGTCTTTCCAGGTTTTGGGTCTTGTATACCGTGAGCTGGGAGACCTTGATCAGGCAAAAGATTGTCACGCTCATGCACTGAATATTATGCTGAAAGAGCTCGGGCCTCAACATGTTAATGTTGCAGCGTCTTTCCAGGCTTTGGGTCTTGTATACCGTGAGCTGGGAGACCTTGATCTGGCAAAAGATTGTCACGCTCGTGCACTGAATATTATGCTGAAAGAGCTCGGACCTGAACATGTTAATGTTGCAGCGTGTTACAATGATCTTGGTCTTGTATTGCGTCATCTGGGAGACCTTTATCAGGCAAAAGATTACCACGATCGTGCACTGGATATTATGCTGAAAGAGCTCGGACCTGACCATGTTAATGTTGCAGCGTCTTACCAGGCTTTGGGTCATGTACACAATGAGTTGGGAGACCTTAAACAGGCAAAAGATTATTACGATCGTGCACTGGCTATTAAGCTGAAAAAGTTCGGACCTGACCATGGTAATGTTGCAGCGTCTTACAATGATCTGGGTTTTGTACTCCGTCAGCTGGGAGACCTTAAGCAGGCAAAAGATTACCACGATCGTGCACTGTCTATTATGCTGAAAGAACTCGGACCTGACCATGTTAATGTTGCAGCGTCTTGCCAGGCTTTGGGTCTTGTACACCGTCAGCTGGGAGACCTTAATCAGGCAAAAGCTTATCACGCTCGTGCAAAGGATATTATGCTGAAAGAGCTCGGACCTGACCATGTTAATGTTGCAACGTGTTACAGTGATCTGGGTCTCGTATACCGTGAGCTGGGAGACCTTAAACAGGCAAAATATTATAACGATCGTGCACTGGCTATTAAGCTGAAAAATTTCGGACCTGACCATTTTCATGTTGCAGCGTCTTACAATGATCACGAAAGTAAAAGTGAAAACTGTCAGAACGTTACATAACTTGTAAATATCAACTGTTACTGTTTGAAAATT